AGCTGATCAAATTCCAAAGCTGCATTAACTTTTTGCCATCAGTGTAATGAACATTGTATAAAAGCAAAATTACAGAAAACTTCTGGTAAATAGAACCACCACCAATATAAACTTATTTTTAATGATGCTAAAAACTTAAATAACATATTAAAATAATAAGTTCACTGAACAAATGAAGACACAACTCAGTTAAAATGACAAACTGACTCATTAAGCCCTGGCAGTGAAAATAAACCTGCTGAAGAGTTAGTAATTCACAGTATTTTAAGAAGAAGCATCCATTTATCACTGTCATTATAGTAGGAATCCCCAAACTTTTGGCAAGGAGATACTGTTCATTTTTTTGGACCCTTAGATACCAGTTCGAGAGAAACAGGAGACAACAGGTGGGGAATCAAACTGAATGAAGCATGGCAGAGAGTCCTGAAGTTAACTACACTCCAAACAGTGCTGAGAATCCTGAAGAGTGACAAGGAAAAAGGTGGGCAAGGGGCAGCACAAAGGCTTGGAAATGGCACAGAGATAAACTAGGAAATTCCAATCCACTAATCAGGGACCTCTACCTTAACAAAGTACAACAGGCAGGAAGGCTTAGATCAAATCTTAAAAGAATTAGCAAAATATATTATCAAATTCAAATAATGAGAATGTCATGAAAATAAATAGCAAGGATTCTCCTGGGTGACAGATACAGGGAGGTCCCTTGTTCCTTGTACTAGGCTCTTCATTTTTGTGTATGATTGAAATTTTTCATTAAAAGCATTCTTTGACCACTCCAAGCCCCCATGCCAAGACATTTTGCCCTCTTATTTGTTAAACCTATCTGCAGTTCAAGGGAAATCAGATTCATGTGTTCTCAATTCAGCTTAACTTATTAAAATATTGCTTTTTAAAAGCTAAAAAAAAATTCTTTGACCAAGGTGGGCTTATCCTGGGAATACATGGCTAGTACAACATTTGAAAATCAATCAGTGTAACTCAACATACTAATAGTCTTAAAGAAGAAAAATAATCTGATCATCTCTAAATGCAGAAAAAGCACTTGAAAAATTTCAACATCTATTCATGATTAGAAATAAAAACTGTCAGAAAACTAGGAAGAGAAAGGAATTTCCTTAAACTGATATAGGGCATCTACAAAAACCCTGCAAGTAACACAATACTTAATGGTGAAGGACTGAATGTTTTCCCTCTACAATCAGGAACAAGACAAAGATGTCCACTCTCACCACTCCTATTTAAAACTGTAATGGAAGTTCTAGCCTGAAAAAGAAATAAAAGACATATAGACTAGAAAGGAAGAAACAAAACTATTTTTATGCCAATGACATAACTGTTTATGTAGAAAAGCCCAAGGAATCTACAAAAAAAAGCTAAAAGATTTATTTAATAAGTCAGTTTAGCAAATTTCAGGATACAAAGTCAACATACAAAAGCCAACTGCAATTCTATACATTTGTAATGAACAACTGAAATTAAAATTTTAAAACACAGTACCAGTTAAACATCATTTAAAAACAGAAAATACTTAAAATATACATCTAACAAAATATATGCAGGACCTGCACACTGAAAACTGATTTTAAGATTTATTATAAAGCTACAATAATCAACATGGTGTGGTATTTATTGACCAAAGGACAGACATACAGATCAATGGAATAGAACAGAGCATACCAAATTATACCCATAAATATATGCTAAACAGATTTTCAACAAAGGTGCAAAGACAATTCAATGGAGAGAGAATAGACTTCAACAAACAGAGCTGCTTAGAAAAACTGGATATCCGTATAAAAAATTAACTTCAACCCATACCTCATCATGGATACACATTAATTCAAAATGGATCAAAGACCTAAACATAAAACCTAAAATGATAAAACTTTTAGAAAACATAGGAGAAAAATCTTTGTGACCTTGGGGAGGCTAAAATATGACACCAAAAGCATGCTCCATAAAGGAAAAAAAAAGTGGATAAATTGGAATTCATCAAAAGTAAAAATTGCTGCTCTGGGAAAGACACTTTTAAGGGAATAAAAAGACAAGCCACAGACTGAAAAAAATATTTGCAAAACACATATCTAAGAGAAGACTTATATTCAGAATATATAGAAAACAACCAAAATTGAATAGTAAGAAAACAAAAAACACAGCTAAAAATTTGACAAAAGGTTTGACAGACATTTCACCAAAGAAAAGTATACAAATGCCAAATAAGCACATGAAAAGGTACTCAATATCATTAGCCATTAAGGAAATGAGAATTAGTGAGCTACCACCACACACCCACTAGAATGTCTATAACAAAAAAAATGATAATTCAAAGTGTTGGAGAGAATGTGGAAAAAGTGGAATCCTCAAACATTGCTGGTGGGAAGATAAAATAGTATCACCACTGTGGTAAATCTCAAAAAGTTAATCATACACATACCATATGATGGAACAAATCCAATCCTAGGAAACTGCCCAAGAAAAATTAAAACATGTCCACACAAAGACTTAGATGTGAACATTCAGAACATCGTTTTTCATAATCACAAAAGAAAGTGGAAACAATCCAATGTCTCTCAACAAGTGAGTGGGTAAACAAACTTTGGTATATCCACACAATGGAAAACTCAACAGAAATAAAAAGGAAAGAACCAGTGATATATACAGCATGGGTCAATCTCAAATGGGTAATGTTAAGTGAAAGAGGCCAGACTCAAAAGGCTACATACTGTTTGATTCCATTTATACGGTGATTTAAAAGAAGTAAAACTTAGAGGAATAAAAAATAAATCAGTGGTTATGAGGGGCTAAAAAGGGAAGGATGATTTCAAAGTAAGGTTACTAAATTTAGCAAATAAAAATACAGGACAGACTCAGTTAAATTTAAATTTGAGATGAATGACAAATAATCTTTAGCGTTAAGTATAGCTCATGCAATACAACAGCTCTCAAGCTGTGGTTCCAGGACCAGCACCTTTAGAGTTAACTAGGTACTTTGTTAGAAATGCAAATTCTCAGGCCCCATCCAGCTCTACTAAAACAGAAACTCTGAGGGTGGGACCTAGTAATTTACTTTTACAAGTCCTCCAGGTGAGTCTCATCCTTTGGTTTGAGAACCACTGCTCACTATACCTGTCACTGACAAAAAAGAACCATAAGAAGCTAATGCGAAGAGAAAGGGGCACACAAGCCTGTCTGATAAATCAATTCACCATCATCAAATATTAACTGAACAGCCAAAGGGTATAGTAGGTTCTCTGAGGAGGGGTGATAGGCATGATCCTCAACTGAAGGCAGTTTCACACAAAGAGGACATTGGCAATGTCTGGAAACATTTTTGGTTGTCACAAGTAGGAGGAGAGGATACTGGCATCTGGTGAGTAGAGGCCAGGGATGCTACTAAACATCCTATAAAGCACAGAACAGCAACCTCCCCCAAAGAATTGTCCAGTCCATAATGTCAATAGTGCTGAGGTTGAGAAAGCTGGACTTAACACATTTTTTTTACACCGAAGGCTTTAAAATCAAAGGCATTTTTATGAACATGGAAATAAAAAGATTAAAAAGGTAATGACAAAAAATATAATTCAAAGTGTCTCATTCTAAAAATATTAGAATTATTCTGAAGAAAACTTATACAGACTATTGATAACAGAGCTAAAACAGTAATTTGGTGGTAGGAGGGACCTTTATGACAAAAATACCGTGTTGCTTTTTTTTTTAGAAGTTATGTGAGAGAATAAATTGGAGATTGGAGATGACAAGTCTGAGAACCATATGCAAATTAAAATGCATCTGTAGACACCGTATGACCAGAAAACAAACTGGCCCAGGAATCCTGGAAGTTGAGTTCTAGTTTTGCTTGGTATTAGGCAACTATGTAATTTAGCACAGGTCATTTCCTTATCTGGGCTTTAGTCTGCTGATCTGTAGAATGAGGGGATTAGACTATTTGAGTTCTATTTAGGATCTCTCACAGCTTTAACATACTATGCCTATGTCGAAAAATGGGCACAGGAAACATTCAAATATATACATATATATATTTTTATTGAAGAATAGTCAGTTACAATCAATTCTGTCAATTTCTGGTGTACAGCACAATGTCCGAGTCATGCATATACATACATATATTTGTTTTCATATTTTTTCATTAAAGGTTATTACAAGATATTGAATATAGTTCCCTGTGCTATACAGAAGAAATTTGGTTTTCATCTATTTTTATATATAGTGGTTAACATTTGCAAATATATTTTTTACAGGATATGAGGAGACATGCTATCACTTTGTTCCCTTTGGGATAGTCTTGTGCTGACTTTAGTACTTCTGGCTTTTGTGTTTAGAAGTTGTGAGACAAAGCTACTTAGCTCTTCTTGATTATTTACAATAATTATATTAACAACTCATGTTCACTGCAGAAAAATAAGATTATACAGATAAATCACTCTTTTCACTAAGTAAGATTCTGAGATGAATTATAGCAGGACTGTGTTAAGATGGTCTAACAAAAGTCAATTTTATTTTTGCAATTAAAAATTGAAGTGAAAATGTTTAGAAAATTACTGTTCTACTTTATATGCATGTTCCTAGGGAAGGCTACATTATTACTAAACAATTGTCATGCTGTAAAAGAGAAAGAAATCCTACAACCCCTTCTCTGAGAACAAATATTTTAGTTCAGTATGAGATTAAGAGTAATAAAAAGTTTAGCAGCATCTATATATACTTATAAAATATAAACTGATAAATATACAACCATAATAATGTCAAGACTCCACTTTCAGATGGTTTTAAATGTTAAAAATATATAATTTCCTATTTTTTAATAAGAAGGTAAGTGAATAGGCCAAAAAAACCTTAATTTAGCTTCAGGGCCAGATGCACGATAGTCTTTATGCCAAACATGTCAGTGTGTCCGCTTCTATCTCAGTGTTAGAAGTAATTGCCCAGAAGAATTCCAGTCAACAGCATTTGACTTTACTAATTTCCAAGGAGCAACTTACTTTAATGTGATGTACACCATTCAATTTTACAATCTGCTGTTCAATGGTCCAAACACAGGAGCTGCATGTCATCCCCTCAACAGAGATGGTGACAGAATTCACACCCATACATGGATCCATTTTGATTTCTTCTTTACATTTCTATTAAAAACAATGAACTTATTAATTTCAGCCATGGAAATAATCCTTCCTCAACTTTCCCACCTCCCCAACTGAAAATACACTACTAATAAAATATGCTCAGCATTCTTTTCTCTCATCTCATTTTACTCCCACCTCAGGGCCTTGCATTAGCTATTCCCTTGGTTTAGAACTTTGTTCTCCCAAATACCTGCTTTGCTAACTTCCTCGTCTCTTTCAAGTCTTTATCCAAATCTAACTCTCCTAATGAGTCTTACACTGACCATGCTGTTTAAAATTGCATCCCATATCCCTTTGACACACACATACTCTGATTTCCCTTACCTGTGCTCTATTTTTTTTCATAGGATGTCTTATCATCTTCTAATATACTTCATAATTTACTTACTGTGTTTATTGCTTATTATCTGTCTTCCTGTGGTGGTTTTAAAATATGTTCACAAGTTCTTTACTATTCTTTCTTTCAAGAGATGGAATTTAACTTCTTTCCCTTTGAGTGTAGCCTTGACTCAGTGACTTGCTTCCAACAAATAGAACACAGTGGAAGTGACAAGGTGTGATTTCCAAGACTGGCCATAAAGGGCACTGCAGGAGGGGGAAAAAAGTAATTGTGGCTTCCTCTTTGTCCTCTCTCTTGAATCACCCGATATGGGGAAAGCCACCTGCCACGTCATGAGGACACTCAGGCAGCCTTATGAAGAGGTTCTTGTGGTGAAAAATAGAGGCCTCCCGTCAACAACCAGCAAAGACATGATGCCTCCTGCCAACAACCAGGTGAGTGAACTATCTTGGAAGCTGATCCTTCAGACTCAGTCAACCCTTTAGATGCCTGCAGCTCCAGCCAATATTTAAACTTAAAAACTCAAAAGAGACCTTGAGCCAGAACCACCAAGCTAAACCACCCCCAAATTCATGACCCACAGAAACTGTGACACAATAATGTTTGTTGTTTTAAGCCACTAAAAAATTTGGAATAATTTGTTACAATAATTAATATTACTTCCTACTAAAATGAAAATTCCATGAAGGCAGGAATCTTTTTTTTACTGATATTAGTTTGAATCACTTGAAATTCCCATTTTATTGAGATATAACTGACATACAACATAGTTTTGGGTGTACAATATAATGATTTGATATATGTAGATATTGCAAAATAATCACCACTATAAGTTTAGTTAACATCCATCATCATGCATAGTTACAAATTTTTTCTTCTGATGATAACTTTTAAGATCTACTGTCTTAGCAACCTTCAAATTTACAATACAATATTGCTGACTAGTCACCATGCTGTACATTATATCCTCAGGACTTATTTATCTTATAACTGGAAGGTTATACCTTTTTAATCACCTTCATCCATTTCATACACTCCCTAACCTCCACCTCTGGCAACCCATCAATCTGTTCTCTGTGTCTATGAGTTCATTTTGTGTTAGTCTTCATGTATAAGTGAGCACATACAGTTTGTCTTTCTCTGTCTGACTTATTTCACTTAGCATAATGCCCTCAAGGTTCATCCGTGTTGTTGCAAGTGACGGAATTCCTTCATTTTTATGGCTTAATAATGTGTGTATATGTATATCACATTTTCTTTATTTATTCTTCTATTGATAGACACTTTAGTTGTTTCCATGTCTTGGCTATTGTAAATAATGCTGCTATGAACATAGGAATGCATTTATCTTTGAAACAGTTATTTCATTTCCTTTGGATAAATATCCAGGAGTGGAATTGTTAGATCACATGGTAGTTCTATTTTTAATTTTTGGAAGAACCACCATACTTTTTTCCATATCCATTTTTAAAATACAAAAATCTTAGAAAAGCTGAAAGAACAATTCATACCTAGAAGCATCATTCTCAATCTTAAATTTAACTAGCACTAATTACGGAACAACTATAATTTATAGTGTGATCTGATCTGAAATAGATTAATAATTATTAGTCTATTTTTGTTATTTACTTTCAAAGTTAAAGCTAAAGCTATTCGAAATTCTAACAATTCAGTATGTCCACTGATTCTTCTTATGAAATTAGTATTAAATTATTACCTATTTTTACATAAAGAGACTTACAGTATCTATTCAATATAAAAGAATATGTTTTGTCTAATTTTTGTTTTTAATGATTTGAAACAGTCTTGACTAAAAGCCAAAAAATAATGATCTCTAATGAACCACACTGCCAAAGGTTTTCACATTACGGTATCTATGACTTACAATCTGTATGTAAAAATAAGCTGTCATTGCTCTGAGAACTGCATCTTCATTCCTCTAATCAGAACAGCTGCTGCCAATAGGACAAAAATCTGAATCTTTGAATGAATGATAAGTGTAATAGAGAAGAATTAGTAGAACTGAATTAGCTTAGAGGACCTAGAGCTAGCTACTCCAGCTCAAAAAGAAGTTCTCCATATTGCCTGAATTCTCCATTGCACAAAATTTTACAATTTAAAGATTATTATATTAATGAATATCTTCCTTTTTGTTTCCAAATTTTTATTATGAAAAATTTCAATCACACAAAAAAGCTGAAATAATACAATGAACATCTAACTGTATATCCTCTGAATGAATTCAACAATTGTTAACATTTCTCTATATTTACTCTATTTTTTCTGTTATTGATAAATTTTGGAGATCATAATATTTCAGCATGCATTTCCAAAGAATAAGAACTCCTGTAAAACCACAATACTATTATCACAGCTAATAAAATTAATGATTGTATATCCTGTAATACAAATTCTCTAAATTTTCCCAAATGTTCTAAGAACATCCTTTACAGCTTGTATTTTTTCCAAATCAGGATCCAGGCAAGGTCCACATTTTCCATTTGGTTGTGTCTCTTCTGTTTCTTTTAATCTAGAACAGCCTCTCCCCCATATTTCTTCTCCCCCATGAAGTAACTTTTTAAAGAATCCAGATCAGTTGTCTTAACAGACATTGTATCCTCTTTTTAAAATACAAACTCCTCTTTGATCATTTAAGGAGTTGATAGCTGGAACTACACCTCCTAATACCTAGGTAAGATCAGTTACTACAATAGAACAGAAGCCTAGATCAGACAGGAAAGGCAAGTAGCTGTGAGCAAAGGATCCTTGGGATATAGGGAACTCCCAGGCCTAGATGAAAGGTCCAAGGTGGGATACTTAAGGCAAGCGGGAAAGCATTAGGGGCTAGGGAAAGGGTCACCGTGAAGTGGTAATGGGTATGAAAAGGGAAGTGTAATAATGTCTAAAACAAACAGATCCTATCAAAATTTTGCTTACCGTTAGTCCTGTACCTAAAAAAGAAGATGCTTCCTCTTTCCTCTTGTAGCACATGGCTGTCTGTCTCTGGGTCAGAACACTCAGACTTAGTACCTATATGGCTCAGAAATGTTACGGGTCAAAATGGGGCTTTTGAGGGGTGATCTAGGTAAATCCCAAAACTGACTAAATAGTTTTATAAGAAACTGTCAAAAAAAAAAAAGAAACTGTCAAGTTCAAAAAACAGAACTGGTAACAAACTTTTGGAATACAATACACTCAGCAGATGAAAGATAGTTTACCTGGTTAGTTAGGAATGTAAAATCAAAATAAAGTTTTATTATGGTGTACACCCCAGACCAAAGTATTAGAACATCTCTCAGAGTTACTGAGGAACTGAGAGAGACTAGTTAAGCAGAAAGGCACTTTTAAAGTGACTGGATAATTCACCCTGGAAATATATATTGGGGAGGAAAGAAATGAAATGAAATGAATGAAAATTACATTAATACAGCCACTTTTCCCCCTCCATCCTAATTTAAGCATGTGAAATCTTCTATGAATAATATGTATTTTCTCTGTCTTCAAAACTCACCTGCATTTTTTTCTTCAAAATAGTACTTAAATTGGACCTTAGACTCAATTGAAACCTCAGAGGACTTTGATCTTCCTGTACTACTCTATTATACACACACACATAACTCTAATTGATTTTGTAATATATGTTACATCCATCTTTTGAATTTTAAATGTCTCAAAGATAGGTACAAAGTCAGGAACATCTTTTGTAACCTTTCATTATATTTTTTCAAAATGACTCAGAAAACAGTGTAAGCATAAACAATTTCATATGGTGTAGGCCTATGAGAGATGACAGTATCAAAGAAACACATCTGGCATGCAGCTTTTAGTAATGAGGCGACTCTGAGAAAAAGAGCATTCAACAACATTGAGGGAAATGACTTCTAGTTATTAAAGTATTTCGAACCATTCCCTAGACACAGATGCTAATCATCATCAGTAATAATATTTTCTGTGACGAAGAACAGTATTATGACTAGATAGATCATCATCTCTGGTTTGGAAAGAGAAACTGCAAAAGTTGAGTACAAACAAACAAGACACATATGAAGTCTGATTGCTCAAAACCACTTCTTAAAGCTGATCACAGAAGCTCAAACATTATTTTTAAATCCCCCTAAAATAATTAGTCCTCAAAATTTGAGAAAGGTTTCTGAATTCTTAATAAATTACATGGTAAAATTTATTTCTTTTTTTGGATATAGTTCTACTTGGATAATTTTTATCACTACAGTAATCAAGGAAATGCAAATTAAAACTACAATGAATATCATTTACACTCATCAGGTAGACCAGTATTTCAAAATCTGACACTACCAAGAGTGAGAGAATATGGAGCAACAGGATCTCTCCTATTCATCTGGTGAGAGTGTAAACAGTACAACCATTATGGAACTGCTTGGCAATACCTGGTAGAGTTAAAGACACACAACATTTTAACTCCTAGGCATATTACCCTAGAGAAAGTCTCACATGTGTACAAGGAAACATGAATAAGAATGTTTATTGCAAAGTGTTCCTTACAGTTAAAACTTTGGGGGGTGGGGAGGGTATAGTTCAGTGGTAGAGAGCATGACTATTATGCACAAGGTCCTGGGTACAATCCCCAGTACCTGCATTAAAAATAAATAAAAACCTGGATGCTCCTGGAGAATGTCATTCT